GCTGGCAGAACTCATGTCGTGAACACATGTGTTTTGGGACACTTATGTTATCTCTCAGCTGAATGAGCCTAGACGTATAAGGGCAGGGGGAGAAAGACTCCAACATCAGGGGCCCGACAAACACAGTCATCTCACACTAAGGCAGAACTTGTTTTCCTTTACCCTTAGGATCAAGAGTCGAGGGAGCGAATGCCCGAAAATCCATCCATCCATCCATCAGAAAAGTGCCCATCGGGTGCCAAATCACATCGCCTATCGCCTTTTGCAGGCTGACATACATGCCTATGTACAGCAGCTGACTGCCTATGTCTCCACCCATGCATGCATCATCTAGCCCTGTCTCTTTCTTTGTCCCTGCTGGTGCAGTGTGCCGCGTCCGACAGATACCGCCTGGCGGCCTCGACCGCCGACTGCCGGAAGGCCTTGTCGTGATACTGATTCACACAGACACTGACCTTAACCAACTATGTCAAGCACGTGCTCAACCGACTCGACAAGGGGACGATCTGCCCACCCGCCAAGCCACACGCCCACAAGCCACCAATGACCCCCCCCCGCCGACAGACGAGCGTGACTGACTTGATCTCTGGGCTGGATGCAGCGTCTCTGCCGGATGAGTTGCCCTCCTCCGTCGGGGGGTCGGGACTCGCTCCGCAGAAGGGGCCGGACGTGGATGAAGGCATGTGTGGTTTGGGTCGTGTCTCGATACTTCGGAGTGTCCCGGTCATTTACGTGTACCATGCTCTTTTTTGCAACCTCTGTGTACTTACATTCTGTGGAGTGAGTGACTCTTTTTCAGATGGAGGGATGCGGTTGACGTGTGGGTCGGATTTGTTGTTCGAGGGGCTCGACGGATGGATGGATGGATGGATGGTCGTACAGTAGACGGGAGGGAGGGTAGATCTGTCGACTTGCGTGAGCGGGCACTATATGTCTGTGGTGTGCAGTGCAAAGGCTCAGCTCGGCTGGGATTGACATCATCGACATCAATGCATACCAGTGAAATGAGCCATCCATCAGTGCAAATCGGTAACAGCTTCGCTGCATGCCATATCTTGTCCTTCGGTCGAGATCAATCGTCCTTGGGTCGAGATCAAGAAAGCTCGCAGTCTCCCCCCAGAGGCCCACAGGTTTCCTCTCCTCTCCCAAGAAGTACAACCCGATGATGAAGCTGAAGAACCTTGTGAAGAATCCCTCTATGGGATTCGGTGGTGTTCCGCCGGAGGACCAGGCAAGCAATGACTGATAGCTGCCGCAGTGCCAGTCATTCACTCATTCATCGTTGTCTTCGCTCCGGACGCCCCCTGCACTGACGCAGCAGCTGGGTGCCTTCTTGCCGCCCAGCCGCGGGGCGGCGACGATGCGGCCGCACCAAAGCAACGTCAGTTACTATAGTACTAGTAAGTCATCCAGCCAATCAGGCAAGGCAGCCAGCCATTCATTCATTCATTCACTCATTGATACACCCGGCCCGAACGACGACACTCCACCCCATCCATCCATCCATCCATCCAAACACTCAACCAGAGAGGCCCCACCCCACCGCACATATACTGTACATACCATACCGCACAAAACCTGTGCATACCATACTGAACGAAAGGCCATGGCGGCACCAAAGCCAAGAGATCATTCGCCGTGGGTGGGTCACAGGGAGAGGGCTTGGGAGGGCGGTGTTGTGGTGGCTGGTGGACCCGTGGCTCGACAGGGGGCAAAAAGGTGGTG